ACACCATGCTTTTCATGCCTAATGCCTATGAGTCAACTAATAAATGACAACTACAGATTTATTATTGCAGAATTTGTACTAAATAGAAAAGTTCCAGATATTCTTCTACGTATTAAGATACTTCATTTAAATGAATTATAAAGAAATTTATATGGAAAAGTATTTAGCTGGATCTGACTTGGATTGTTTTCAAGGCAGTTTCAAAACATCGGTTAACACTATAACAATCACAAAACATTACAGTAATTTGCATTTAATGTAATATCGAAGTAATGGTGTAGGAATGAACTTCAATCTGATAGGTGCGATGCATACAGGAAAGGTTTCTGAAATGGACAATCTTGTGCTTTTTGGTATCTCTTCATTTAAAATACATTTTGTTTCCTTGCTTGTCATTTTTTGACGCTTACAAAATCGGTGAACTTTGTGGTTAAAAAACCAACAATAGTTGAATTCCTACCAGAACTCTCATTTGCATCTTTTTCCATTGACTGAGAAACCAGGAATCTTAAGTAGAAATCGAGGTCCATTTTTTTCCTTTTAGGGTCTGATAGGTAATGGACACTACAGGATGACAGTGCAACAGCCATCGTGGGGTGGGAGCACACCTGCTATTACAGGGAAATTATCTGTTTTGATGCAGAGTGGATTTAAAACTTGTATTTACCCCATGTTAATGAAGGTCCCGTTAATGTTTGATGGAGCATAATACTCACTTGCAAGGGAGCGACTTGGTGCAACAGAAATGGTTCATGGAGTTGCAATTGACTGCTCTCAAAAAGTGTAAACCAAAGTACCTTTCCACATAAGGTGCTTGTCTGAGTAAAAGGTTTAAAATGCTACTGCTTTCAGTATTGCTTAGTGCCCCTAACATGTCTGGTGTGCCTTATGCCTTACTTTTAGATGAAGATTTTATGAACTGTTTACAAGATGTTTTACAGCAGGACCAGGTATACTGTATGCAGTGGTCTTCTGCAGTACTTTGGTAAAATTCCATTTCCTTTTTAAAAGTACTAGTGTCTGTCACACAAACTGACTTCTCATTGCGGTGGTCTCCTTTTGAAGAGTCAAACTCTGGATCCTTTGGAGTGAGATTGTGGAATGCTGCTTTGTTTTCTCTCCCATTTAACCCTTTATTCTGTACCAGATATGAACATGCATGTTCAGGAAAATTATTGCACTAAATTTTTTGTGTAGTTGTAGTTAAGTGCCAAAATCACGGCAACCTCGAGAAAAGGAATAGAATTCTACGCTACTTAGTACTGCAGTATGTCCTATGGGCTTTAAGAGTTTAGAAGTTTTGCAAATTAGTAACCTACTAAAAGGTAGCTGCATATTCGTAGAGCTTCCTTTGCGTTCCAGCGTGTTTTGTACTTCCAGAAAAGCTTTGCTACGTACGAATTGATACATGGTTAACAGACCTGTGACTTTTTCCATGATAGCTGAATTTACTCTTCAGGTCTGTTGGAGCATCCTTTTTATTGAATCACTGTGCAAGGTCACGTTTCTGTTAGTGTTTGCTGTTCGAGACAGAACTCTGTACCCTCAAACTCCACATCTTGGTTAACGGGACACTGTCAACTATTTTTTCTTTAATACTCTAAAGTGCCTAGCACACTTTTGACGCTATATAAAAAATACCTTCGTAGAAGTTGCATTCATAGTTTATTTTTTGTGTAGTGCTGCACTAGCCAGCATGGCTGTTTTTTGGCTTGCTCCTTTGTGCACAGTTACCATTACTGTTGGCAGGAATGGTCTCATCTCTGGGAATTTTTTTCCTTAACTAGAGTCCCACAAATACCTTTTGGTGTCACGCTAAATTGGTCTCTTAAAAATGTATCGCTTATCCCTAGATCAGTGGATCTTAAAAAATTGTCTTCAAATGACCAGAAGACTTTTTACATCGTGTCAAAATGTGGACCTGAGCTGGTTGAAAGTGTCCCACCTAAACAGTATACTTTGTAGTAAAATATCCTCTAGAGTGCTGTCCCAGGTCTTCTGTCTGTATGGGAGATATGCAGTGGTCTTGTTAAAAGAAATGCCTTACGCATCTGTGGCTATTTCAAACAGATAAATTTAAACTTCGCAATTCCAAAAGCATATCTTAATTTGGGATTTACCATTGTTTCCGAGAGAAAAGTTACGTGCTTTGTCGGATTTCATAGGTGAAAAAAATGCAAGTATGTAATAGGCTTCCATCCCTCTGTCAAAGTGCAGGCAAACGGTCTCAACCTGTCCTTTCGTACCTCTACACAACAGCAGTGGAAATGCATGTCACTTCAGTACTAATGCAGGTCACACTAGTGACTAACGATGAGGGAATCCCTAACTCCTGGCTTCCTAAATGATTCGCTAGACAATTGTATATTAAATACATATCAACGCCGTAATTTTAATTCCCTCACTGAACGCGGTCCCAGTTGGTGAATCTTAAAAATGGCTTAATCAGACTAGGCTTGCTCAGATATCAATGCTATTTGAATTTGCTGTCAAACTTGCAGGTTCCTAGGTGATAAGGTGCAACCATTTATAATTATAAACAAATCTTCAGGACACCAGAGTAAAACAGCCCGAGACTTTTATTTTGATTTGAAACTATTAGCCATAAAGCAGAGCACATGGATGGCTCTTCTTGGCTTTTGATGGCAGTATGCAATTTGTATTGTATGTGTCTTTTAATATATATGTATATATATATGAACTCAGTCTGTCCAAAGTATATGTTATACTTGTTTTTAGATTATGGTGCAACTGACTATATTGATATATTATTTATTGAGTGCTAAATCACCATCTTATTGGTGATAAATCTTGCATATTATACAGGAGTGCAATGTATATTCCTTTAGATTGCTGAGGCTTGATTGCTGTGATAACAAAAAAATGCCCTGAAATGTATTTATGAATGGCCCCAACATACAGAGAGTCAGTACTTTATGGAAATAATGTAGCGCTTGCCTGGGGCAAGTAAAATAAAGCCGTAGGCAGATAATTACGTAGTTTGCCAAAATGGCAAACTACTGGAAAGAGAGACTACCTTTGCTGTATTTAATATTTCATTTACCTAACAAGTATTTGCTGTCACTGCAGTGTTTATATTAAGGCAGATACAAAAGGGCCTGAGCAAGTCAAGTTTGAATTACCCATTGGGGAGTAAGCGACTTCCAAATTCTTAGATTTCTGACAAATACTTCGGTCAGGGTTTAAATTACTCCATCTGATGAATCAGTGTTACAGAAAATCCTGTGTTTCCAAGCAACAAAGTTAATGCTAGACATCTTTTAAGTCTAAAGAGTAGCCAAAGCTTTTGCTAGCCAACTCAGACAAATCCAGACCTATTCCAGGAGACAAATTTCCTAAGTAGGAAAGTTAGGTGAACTCGAACAATCAGGGAATCGTGATGTATGCCCAACTCCATTACTTTTCAAGGAATTGGTCTCTGCTACCGTGATGCCATTTGAAAACAGCGGTGTTGGGGCGGGGGGAGGCAGGGAGGGAAGGGTCAGCTGTACGGTCAATAAATTCTTCTCTCAATATGAGCACGGCAGAGCAGCAGCTCTGGTCTGTGCTAGGTCAGCCTTTCAGGCAGCGTTTGCTCTCTGCCAATACTCAGCTGAGTTTCACTCGAATACACTATCCGGAGCAATTTGAAATGCTGTGGTACAGCACAGAGTTTATGTAGGCTATCTTTATGTCAATGCTTCACCTGTTTTAATTTCATCTGGAAACTTAATGGAACTGTATCCATTCCTGTTGTAACTCTCCACACATGCTAACGGAGCTGATACAGGCAAATTGGAATGCAGTGTTCCCTGTCTTCGGTTTTTATATGCAACCCTAATAGTTGATGTAGTTGGGTGCACAGTACTTCTGCAGCATTTGTTTTTGGCTGCATTGGCATTATACATCTGAAAACTCAACTCTAAGGACCAGGCATGACTTTTGCAAGCACAGTTCCTGACATTTGTATCTGGTCCCCCTTTTAAATTGTTTTAAGAAATTTTGTATATGGAGGATAAAGTGCTTATATATTTATTAAAAATCCTTTATCTTATTTGAAATTATTATTTGGTGAAGAAGGGTTTTTCTTTTGGGGGAGGGCTTGTGGGTGGGGGAAGGTAACTTTTAACCTGTCACTTATAAATGAAGCCCTTATTAATCATACGGAAAGGTACTGTTAGTAACTAATGGGATGTCTCTGTTTTATGCTTTGTACATGACAAGTCCATGTGTTACATTTTGTTTCTATCAAAATATTTAGGCATCTGTCTTCAACCAAAACCTAAAAAAAAACAAACTGTGATTTTTATTTGTTGCAATACATTTGAAATTTCAAAGGGTACTTTGGGGCTCAAAATTAGGATTTCTAAGTCAGTATGTGCATTTCACGTAATAAAGCTGTTAATGGTGAGCAAAGTATTATATACTAACTAGATTTTTTCCACATCTGTATAGTATATTCTATGTATTTTGTGGTATTGAGATTATAGAAAGTTTAGTGTCCGAAACATGCGTTTAATGTGTATTTTTAAACAAATTTATGGCAATTAAAATATTTGGAGAAAAGGGTATCACATTTCAATTTGTAAAGATCTTTTTAACTACTGTGTCATTAAAATGCTTTGTACAATGCAAAACTGTAACTGGAGAAACTAAGTTTAATAAATATCAAATAGATTTTCTGTATTAAACTTCAAAACCACTGTGCTTGTATCTGTTGCATGGCCTTTCTCCTCCCTGGTATTGCATTTTTACGCAGAGCTTTCTTTTTTGATCCTCGTGCTCTATGTATAACAAAAGGAAAATAGAATTTGGTATTTGTGTCCTAGACTTGTTGATATTTGTGTAATCAAAAGTGGCTTTGTTTCTCTCAACCCTCCGAGTTAACGTGCATCTGGTCAAAATTGGATTTTGATAAATTTATTTTAAAATAGTAGGTACTTCAGTGGGAAAAGTTAGTCTAGGACATT